GTTTAGACTCTAAGTCTCAATAGGTTTAGACTCTAGAGTACTTACTCAAATTAAATGGATGATTTTATAAATAAAGGCACAATGTCATTCAACTTAATATGGTAAAATAATTCAGTGGGTACTAGTATAGTCAAATCAATTCAACATTTAGTCAGCCCCTCAGTTCAATGTTGTGTCAGAAACTGGCAATTGCAAAAGGAGTATGAAAGATGGTGTTTTAGTGCCGTACATTCTTAAATAATCCACCATCTTTATTTAGAAACACTCTTGAACTTCAAGTAGTTAGGAAAATGAATATACATGTATTCAAGGGGAAAAACATCATTTCTGGTAGCATTAAATTTGAACATGAAAAACTTGAAATCCCTGATGACAAGCTATAACTAGAGAAAGATATCAAATAAAATGTTCAGCAGGTAGAGTTTATGCCTGGGGAGCTAATCTAGCAAATCCATGTTCAAGTGTATGGTGAATATTGTCCCTAAGTCTCATAACCAGTTTATTTTGTCAGCAAATAGCTTTGTGTTCAGTTTGTATGTGTGTGTGCATAAGTGTGTGTATTACAAAATTAAAATTATTGTGCATTTTAAAGCCATGGAGTCATTTTAGAAGAGACATTTACAGAGAATGGATGATTAATTATATTTTGCCATTTCATAATTATCCATACTTACTCTTTTGCTCTAATTATTTTTCATGTTTTTAAGCTTTTCTGTTCTTGACTTTTAATAAGAGATAATCAACAACTCATTAAGGCCTTGGGGAAAGGCAGGGTAGGAGGGAGGAAAGACAAAGTTATGCTTTTAATTCCTTTTTTCCCTACTAAGTTTTTTGCACATCATCATTTTTGTTTTCATTCATCTATTCAGCATGTAGCTTTATTTGTGCTCCTTTTGTGGTTAGTCCTCAGACGGGTTATTGTTGCAAGATTTATCATCATTGTGTGTATTCTTGATTTTCCCTAATGAAGTTCCCTATCTGATCCCTGGAGTCTGGTTTGGATCTGCATCATCAGATTGCATGTGTGTAGAAAGTCACTCTGACCCGTTTGGTGTTAGGCTCATCATAATTGATTTCATTCTGTTTTTGTATGGCATTTCCCGTTGTTGTTTAAATGAAACTGCATACTTTTTAAGTGGAAACACTTAACACTCTATTATATTTAGTTAGTTTGCAGGTTTAGGCTTCTATACCAGTCTTTATTTTGAGACTTACTATGTGTGTGGTAAGTTTCAATACATAGAATTTGATGTTAGAATTGACTTTTCCCATTGCCAATAGCACAAATACCCTTTGAGGATAAGATATCATGATCTCCCCAGAAGAGAAAAAGAAGCATGCAAAGTGGGTATACTAGACTCTCCATCTGTGTTCCTTTAGGCCTTTGATAAGTCTAGATATTATTAATCTATCTCTTTTTAACTCGTTCACCCTTTTCTCCACTGTATCTCCCCACTATATTCCATTGTTGTTTTCTAAACATTGTTACCTTTGACTATTTCATTTATTCTCTACTATGCCGTACTGTCTCATGTATCAGTGCTTTTGCACAGGGAAAGTTTAACCCTCATTTAATTGACTCCTTTGCTTGCACAAAATAGAAACTCTGTAAGGTGTTAGTCAGTCTGGAATGCCTAGCTTGAGTCCTAGAGTCTAAATTAATGCTTACCTTCCTTATCTCATTGTAACACTATATTGTATATTTATCATATCTTAGATTCCACTGAATTAAAAAGAATAGTTTCCATATTAGACCACAGCTTCCTATAGGCTACAGACCCTTTTGTGTCTGATTCCTTCCTTCCAAGTTATCGTTCCATCAATTCTTCCCATTCAAAGCCAGGGTCAATTCTTTTTATCACTGAAATTTCACCTGACCATACCAACCCTTAGTGCTCTCTCCCATCAGTTAACTCTCAGAATTCATTGTTGCAATATTTGCAAACTTTTAATATAATGTTCACTGTGTGACTGATATACTCTAATAAGTTTATAATGAGATCATAAAAAACATAATTGGCTGCTCCCCCCCCCACTACATTGTGCTAAGCACAATACTATGAACACAATATTTGTTCATTCATTTAAAAACATTTGGTCATTCAAGTAACAGATATACATTTCCCCACATACAATATGATATATGTGATGTATATCATAGAGATACATAAGATCGGCCCTCTGCATTTGTGCATTCTGAATCTGCAGATTCACCCAACAATGGATGAAAACATTTGAAAGAAAAAAACAATAAATAATAAAAATAATACCAATTAAAAATACAGTATTAAAACTATTTACATAGCATTGAAATTGTATTATTATAAGTAATGGAAAGATGATTTAAAATATACAGGAGGATGTGCATAGGTTATATGCAAATACTGCATCATTTTATATAAAGGACATCAGTATCCAATGATTTTGATATTCAAAGGGGTCCTAGAACCAAGCTTCTGTGTAGATACTGATGGACAAATGTATAAGGAGTGTACTTGAGTGCATGTATACATACCCATGAATATAAATGCATACATATAATTTGCCTAGAAAAAATAGAGATTATTTGAAGTACTACTCAGTCTGGGATGCCTGTATTGATGCCCATATTTTTTATTAGGTTCTCCCTTTTCCATACCCCATAAGTATGGATAATTTCCAATACCCATCCCATCTTGGATTCTAATGTTTGAAAATTATATATATATATATATGTATATATATATATATATATGTCTGTGTGTGTGTTTACATGTGAGAGAGTGTTATATATATGTGAGTATCTACTAATACATTTACTGGCTACTTCATATATTTTAAGTATTATAAGTTTTTTAATTTGGAATATTATTAGAACAAATCCAAAATATATTTCTACTTGAGCTTCAGTGATAAGAATTCTAATCATCATCATGGATTTTAACTTTTAAAATAACTATTTAAATAATTTTAGTAGGAATTAGTAGGCATTGGAAATTTAACACACATATTTCTTTAAAAGTTAAAATCCATTATGATGATTAGGACTCTTATTACTGAAGCTCAAGTATGTATATGGGGAGTTGTGTTATACATTTTAAGTATAGTTGTATAGTTGTTAAGTATAGTTGTATACTTAAAATGTCATGAAAATGCCTGAAAAAATTAGTATTGCCAACACTGATGAAAATAGGGTCTTAATTCTTTGTGGATAATTACTTGCACAAGAAATGCTTGCACATTTATTGAAAATGTTTTAATCCCTTTTCTTAAGTTGAATACTTATTATTTTTATGCCTCCAATTTGCCTTTTCCATCTTTTTTGTTAGAACAATCATTACCCATCTGCAACTGTTCTCAAATCACCTCTGTTGGGGCATTTAAATTTATTGATTGCATCAATCTACCATAGCTCAAAATTAACCAAGTAAATTTAAATTCTTACTTTCCACATTCTACTTTAATTTCCCTCATAACAGTATTATCTTATTTTGTATTCATAGCCAGTAAAAGTTCATGAAATTATTATCCTTCTTTTTCTCTTTTGTAGTTTTATATTTAGCCATTTCAGAGTATGTGAATTTTCATCATTACTCATTAGCTATATTAGCTATATTTCAAATTCCACTGGTACTTAGCTTTATATTAATATTATCTTACTGAGAAATTATAAGCCTACTTTTCCTACATTTTGTGATACTCACTATTATTTTCAGCAAAGCTTCACTTGAAGTAGAAGCTTGTAATAATCAGATAGTAGTCTTAAAAAAATAAATATTTAGTCTTTTCTGCAAGTTGGGAACTATGGTGGGGGGGGAGACAGTGGGTGTATTTTCACATTTTGATTTAGCTTAATGATTTCAAGAGTTGACAGTACACAAAAAGAATTGTGGAAAAGTAAAACAATATGATGCAATCTTACCTGTTGCTAGAGTCTGAGCACTGATCTCAATTAAGGTCTTGAAACATAGTTTAATGACTTAATTTCTCATTGTACATTTCTTCCATCATCTTCAGAAAATACCTGAGATTCAAATGTTTCTTTCCCGTAACTTAATATTGATTTTTTAGAAACCCCAGCAAGGTATGACATGCAAACCCTTTGGGGACACTAGCATTGAATCTTGGAGCAGAATGAGGAGTTTCTAGGGGAGTATTTCTCAAAGTGTATTTTACATAGTACTAGTACTAGTCTCTTAAGATACCCTAGGACAAAGTTTTGTCTTTAACCACGTATATTATGTTGCATCATTGTATTATATTAATGTGACCTCATTTGTAATTATTTTAATACTATTTTATTCTCATATTATTAATATAAATTAAATGGGACTATACAATGTATTAATTTGCCATGTGTTTTAAAAATATTTTTAAATGAATGTTTCAGAATTTAACAATTTTATTTTTTCTTTTTCTCTTCTACTCTTCCTCTGATTAATATTTTAAAGAACATAGAAACTACTTCTCTTTATTTGGGGATAAAATCTGATCTGATAATTGTACTTGGCAGTGAAAAAGAATAAAATATTTATGAAGTGCTATAAAATAGGACATTTTCTTTTTTACTCAGTCCCTGAAATAATTTTGCAACATCCAATATAAAAACATCCAACATAAATTTACAATTAGCTATTCTGAAGTAATTAAGAAATATTATCTACTTTCTTCCAATTGTCATATTAACATGTACTTTTAAAGGTAATATTAAGTAATTGTGTAGATAAGATGCTTGTGTTTTATCTATCTAAAGGTCTTTATTGTTGGGGGAAGGTAAGAGATCTGGAAAGTAGGGTTAATGGAGAGGGGTCTATAATTTCAAATGCTTGTTATATTCTTCATCAGTGTCTTTTAGTCACTGCTAGAAGTTGACACCAATTCCTATTTAGTACTGGTCAACCATAACTGAATGAGAAATTGTGGTCACAAAATATGAATGTAGAGTTCTAAAAGTAACAGAATGGTCTGTTTTGGGTCTATCTACAGGCAAGTTTGTTTTACATAAATGGCTTTTTTACAAATTTGAAATGTGAATATATTTTATTTTTTTTTCCCAGTGAGTACACAATACACAATTCTTTGACAATACTATTGACCAATCTTATGCCAATTTCTTTGCTGATCTACGAACATCAAATGAAACACATTAAGATTTTTGGACGCTGTTTGGTGACTTAAACAAACTACAGTTTAAAAAAATCCATCTATAAAACAAAGTATAAAAAGTCTACCACGGCCACAGAATCCCTTTTCTTGCAACACTTTAAAGTCACAATATATGCTTTTGAAATTATGAGACTAAAAAAAAATAATAAATTGAATGTTGTTTTAAAAAATGTATGGTGTTTCATTTGAAGTACACATCATTGAGAAGCAAAACAAAAGTAACTTCACCTCTAAGATAATGTGGAAAGACATGTTGCTTTACACCAAGTTTTGTCATGTATATTCCATGAACAATATACAGAAGTAGATGAACAAAATAGTGAATGTTAAGGTTCTGCATATCTTTAATACCAGTGCACAATCACTTTCTGGTGGTGAAGATAAACCACAATTTAGAGCTCGTTGGTATTGTTATAATTATATTGTCAATGGAAAATTACATAAATTTATTGAATAGAAATTGGGAGGTGTTCCACCAAAGCACATACAAACTTTCCAGTCAAATTCCATTGAAAATAAAATCCCAGAATTAAACTGTGACATAGAACACCATTAAATCGCTTTTGCTACTCAAAGCAAGTAAACTTGCAATGGTTTTACTCCCCTTGATTATATGGTATTTTACATGTTGGTTTCTGTACTCTCCCTTCAACTGGATTAAACTCCTGTGACAAAATCAATTGTTTTCACACTCCTGTACTATCTAACCTTACTTTAAAAATCACATGGTAAATATGTGGACAAGGAATAGGGCAACTCCACCTGCATATACTGGCATACCTGAGTTTAGACACTGATACATCTATATTCCCAAAGGAGATTTTGCCTGTTATGAATGGAACTGTGCTTGTGTTAGGCATTACTGCATAGCAGCACTGCCTATGAGTGCTAGACAAGATTATATTCTCTTCCACTTAGATTTCCTTTCAATGGCTTATGCAGGCCTCTGTTTAGATGCAGAAGAGTGAGCTCAATGACTTTCTAATCCCATTAATTTATAAAATGCTAAACTATGGTGGCTTTTATACATGTTTATATTCTTCTGCTGACATTCTGACTTATATTGATTAGCAGCTTTTTATATGTAGCAAGTTGATGAAGGTTTTTGATTTTTGATAGTGTTTCTAAAGTCATTTGTATAGCCAGAGCATGTTATCTTGCCCTCTGTTAATTTGAGAGTGGTATTTTGGGTGCAGGATTTGACCACTCAATTTATTTAAAACTAGATTTAACAGGCAACATGGACTATTCATTCTATAAGAACATTCCAAGTGACCAAAAGGTCTGCTTAGACATAATCTAACATAGCAATATCAATCAGGAAGGTGGGATACCACGTCCCACATTATTCCTAAGGTTCTCTGCATACAAATACTTCATTTTTAAAGTCTTGGTTTATTTATCATCTATACCTACCAGTTACTGGGGGTCAAAGGCTATGTGTAATATGTGTAATGAGCCAAAGTTTTAGCTAAATTGGGTGATAGAGGAGCTAAAGAGAGAATACAAATGAATAAAACCTCTTTGAAATTTGTTAGCCTTTAAATAGAAAGAGGTGAAGTAGGGAACTGTGTAAATAAAAATTTAAATTCATCACACCTTAGAGTTGTGAATCAGTATGTATTCATACTTTGCAGAAACTTTTCACTTTCCCAGCTTCTTTTCCCCAGAGAAACCAAACTGCATTAAAATTCAGGCACTGATGGTAGAAAGTTGATAAAGGGTTTAAAAAGTATGTCTCAGAATTCTTGTTCTCGTCAGTGTCGAAACAAACTACATGGCACCAAGAAGTCGTTGGAGCCCATAAAGAACATTACATTCTATACTTGCCTGTCCTGATGCAGTCTCAGGGAATAAAATAGATGGAAACATTTAATTATGTCATCCTTTGCTGTAACAACATGACATAAATTGGTGACTGAGCCAATAATTCATGGAGTATGAATTGTCATTCAAAGGGGTCCCATATTTTAGAGCTGATCCTGATTATGACACTGAATATTTTTAGAAGTGCCAACTATTGAATACATTATAGGAAAACTATGAGAAAGTATAGACAGAAATAGAATTTAAGATTGTGTAGGAAGCACATGGGAAAATGTCACAAGTGGGAATTTCAGGAAGGTACTTTTCTACTTGACTGACTATACATGTACAGTAGCTAACATATATTTCAAAGTCACATTTATTTTGAGCATACATGACTGATGTTCAGGAACTTCTTGTTCTCAAAGTCGTGAAAACAAATGAGGCAGGACACTGTTATTAATGTCCACTTACAAGGTTTGGTTTTATTTAAAAAGTGTATAAACATGCATTTTTCTCCTTTTTAATTTTTCTTTTCAATTTACTCATTCAAAATGGGTCAAACCTATTTTAGCTGGTAGCCAATTTCTGAGAATGTACCATAAAATATTTATCCCAATAAATCTACTTACTGTGAACTGAACATACTCTGAGCACTGCTTTTTAAGCACTTACAATTTGGCTATATATCTGGTGGCATCAACTTCACTTCTTAATCAAGTAAAACACAAAATTGTATATAGACTGCATTTTTTAAAAAGTAATGAATTTAAGTGATGCAGCTCTATCCTCTAGTGTGTACTGTACATGTATTAGAAAGATGAAACAAGATATTGCAATAGAGTTTATATTTGGAATCAGCCAGAGTATGCCCTAACAAAAATTGCTTCTTTAACTATTTGCTAGATATTCTAGAGTTCATTTTGTTAGTTTCCTTGGGGAACTTCATATTATATTCTGACTTAATGAATCAGAGTGAATAATTATGATAATTCAGAAAATGCTTCTTTAAAAATTGTAATATAAATACAGCTCTTGTGAAACACTTTAATTTCCTTTTGCTTCTTGCAATTCTCAGATGGATCAATTACAATGACAGATAAAGTTGATTCTAAATAAAACTTTAATTTCTTTTTTTAGCAAGTTTAGTTCAACTTTGCTACCTGTGTATTTTAACGCATATTCAGTCTTAAGACTTAAGCTTCCTTCTTTTGACCCCTGTTTTTGTCTATAGTAAAAGCCACCTCTTTTTTTTTTTTGACTCAGTCCCTGATGTTCAAAGAAGACTTTGCCAACACCATTGTTCCTTTGCATCTTCCTATTTCTACACCCCAACTGAAAACCATCTAACATTATTGGTTACAACCAGCATTATCCAACCTAGCTTACAGTACAGAAACTCCCTTCACATTCAGTCTTTTTCTTCATGTCATGAGGAGTAGAGATTTGTGCTTATCACCAAATAAAATTGCAGTGCAAAATTTAAACATAAAAGTTACACAATTAAAAGTTAATATATGGCACCACAGCCTATTAATTCACATATAGTACAACAGACCAATAAGAACAGACAATAATATGAACAGAGCTAAAAAGAGTGAGCTTGCATAGCAATGCAAAAGAAATTATATACAGAGGAAAATCCTTTTCTTCCTGGAGGGCGAATTTTGTTTTCTTTCCTTTTTATATACTCCTGACAAGAAAGAGTTAAGGTGGGTGGTGTACTTAAGAGAAGAACACAAGTAAAATATCTGTGGGATATGTGTGGCTGTGTGTCTTTACATTGCATTTACAGTTCTTTTAATAGTACATAAATAAAGAAATTGTTCATTGCACTGTTTAGTGTCATCACTTCCATGAGTTTGGACCTGATGGTCCTTCAGAGCAGCTTTGTATGTCTCCTCTCAGTTACTCTAAAAAAAGATAAAAAAAAAAAAATCAGAAATACAGTTGACATTTAAATTATTTAGTGTTCTTTTATCCTAATCAGCATAACAAAAGCAAAGCAACAAGGTAATGAGTGAAAATAAGGTCATCAGAAAGACTTTGCGAGTTTGTGAATTTAAGTAATTTTACTTGGAGATGAACAGAAAAAAAAAAAAAACCACTATAGAATTTGGAAATTTAAATCCAAGTAGACTTATTTTTGTACCCCTTGTGAGTTTGTGAGTCTATCAGTATTTCAAAATAAATGTTAAAGAAAAATCCAGGTAGCTATCAATCAAATGACAATTATAAATAAATCTTAATAATAATTAGATTAACAAAAGCCAACAATGATGACAACTGACATCAACAAAGAACTTTACAGTTTTGAAATTATTTTTCTTTTCATCATTTCATGGAATCCTCCAGTCTGTAATATGTAGATGATGGTAATGCTACTTCTTAGATGAGCAAATAGAGAGATTAGGAAGGTAGTTTACTTTCTCATGTCCCATAACCAGTTAAGTAGTTGAGAATATTAGAATCCAGGGCTATTTTCCCAGAAATGCTTTTTTAACAGAATTTGAAGAAGCAATTGAAAATATTCAGCAAATAATCTGAACAATTAAAAACTAAACTGGTAACTTTCCTGATGAAATTAGCACAAGGAGCACAATGTTTTTTATTGTGACATTAACTTTCTCTACTACCTAGTATTTTTATATTTAGAAAATAGATTGGTTATACTAACAACCTATTCCAGTTCTTTATTTATAAATATATACCTATTTATAAGATGTTATTCTAATAAAAATATTTCAAATTAACTAAAAATCAAAGATAATATCTTCGAAGTTAACTATCCAGATTTAAAAATTAAATAAATGAAGAGCAACTAGAGAATGAGTCATTCCTTAGGTGGTTCTTTAAAACTACAGAAAGGTTAATATGTTTGCCTTTTGTTATTGTGCTCTGTTAAAAAGGCACAGAAAAACTACAAAGTGGGCCATATTTAATTTAATGATATTTAAGTATTAAGACTAATTGCCTAAATTAAAATAATTTTTCTATAGCTTATATCAAAGTTGAAATAGCAGAAATGTTTGTTTCATGGACTGTTATAAATAAATAGCCATGTTATGAGCAAACTTGTTCAAAATTATAATTGATTTTTTTTCTCATAGTAGAGCAAGCTTTCTATTATTCTGAAATTTAATATGGCAATGTTATTAGCTCAATATTCTTTGTGAATTACAATAGCCTTTTAAATGACCTAAAGCACTTACATAATTCACCTGTAAACTGTCCTTGACTATTTGAGCCCATATATCCTATGTCAAGAAGGTCGCTGGCATTGCGCTGGTGGCCTCCCCTTAATACCTCAGCTTTCCTAGGTCCAGTGGATCCTTTAGAAGAAGCTGTTCCTGATGAGCTGTGGCCGCCTGGAGATGGGAAACTGGGCTTGCTATAGGGCACCAAGGCCTCCTCTGAAAAAGAAAAAAACAGCAAAGGGCTAAGTTAAACAGAAACATGGGGCAAAACACAAACTTAACTCTTAGATATTAAACTCAGAATGGGCTATTTTATCATTTGATTCTTTAGTGAAATTAAAATTAAGAGGTTTAATAAGGCCTAGATATTAAAGGAATTTCCATGTGCAAACAACATTTCCTATAATAGGAACTGAAGCAGGATTAAATTAAAAGAGATCTTGGGATAAGTATACAATGTTATACATTACTTGCAAAAGTTAAATTCATTATAAAAGAGAGCTGCATACAATGAACCATAGTTTGCTTAACAAAAGCATATCTGAGCATAATTTCTCATTTCAATGAGGCTCCAATTTAATTTTCCCATTAAGATTGAAGGAACATGTTTTTTGTTTTAGTTGACATTATGGCAACATTTTCTCAATTGATTTAGATAAAGAACTATATATTAGTTAATTAAATAAGTTAATTCAATTCTTAAATTTCTGTTGTTTCTTGGGATGGAAATACATTACTTGAAAGGCTTGTATTTCCTTAAAGGAAAAAAAGAAACTAGCACATTTTAATAAATAAGGTGCTAGTATTCTTTTAATGTATAGTCTGTCTACAAGTAACTCAAGATGTGTATTACTAAATAATTACTTAATACTTTAAAACTTTTTTTCTTTCTTTCTTTATTCTCCTGGCTCTATCTCTTCCTTTCCACCCTAGCCCCTCTGTTTTTCCCTTTCTTTCCAGGTATGGGCTAACATTGAATAATGCTGACTAAATTTACTATTTCTCTCTTTAGATTGTCTTTAATGATAAGGATCATATGGTTTTTCTCTAACAGACTGAACAGTGTAAACTTCCTAACCTTTCAACTATGTCTAGATATTGAAATTGTCATCTTTTGGCCCTTGTACAAATTACATTTTCCAAAAACTTGAGCACCAAGTTGTGACAAAATGCAATTATAAAAAATGCATGGGGATAGGATATACCTAGAAAAGAGTAACTCTAAGTGAATAAATGAATAAGAAAAATTTTAAAAAGTTGTATGTATGTATCTGCATGTGTTTTAATACTCAATGAATCCTAATGTGTGATGTCCTAGAAAATGCATTTCTATAAAAGACCCCCAACCCCGAAAAAAAATCCAACCACAAATCACTAAATTTATTTTGTGACATTTTCAGGAAGCTTAATTTATAAACAAGAGCATTTCCCATTCAAGAGTTAACAATCAACCAAATTTAATCAGTTGGTGAAAGTGAAAACTCAGCTTAACCTCATCTAATGTGAGGATTCTGTGATTGGGCAATTATTTATAACTTTGTAATTTCAATTAATTCATCTATTTGACTGGTGTGAGTTCTTTCAAATGACTGGTTACCTCAGTCAAAATGAACAAACTAGTTAAACTGACATCAGAGATAAAATTTAGTGGTCTTAAAAGTACTCAATATAAACATTAAAATGAAAAAACCAAATTGTCTCTTGATTTTTTATAGATGAAACTTGTAGGTCTCGTGGGCTTATAGATACCTTATGAGAGGAAAATTTCCTTCAATTTAGAAAACAAAAAATTTAACTAAAGAACTAACAACGTTTTAAATAAAAATCATAAAAACATTAAAGAAAAAGACTCCATGGAGAGGTTAATTTAAGGAATAATCGCCACTGGAATAAGCCTTAAGGCATGTGTTGGTGAGCTCTGCTAAGGAATTCTACCTTCAATTAGTAATTTAAGGCAAAAGTATTTCAGATGCTCTTAAACAGCTGCCATTTCTAAAATACCTGGTAGAAAAAAAAAATGGTAACAGTCCACACTTTCTTGGGACTATGCAGAACACACCTGATCCGACACCTTGTTTGTGTGGGGTTTTCCGTATATCTTCTTGGCGTTCTGTGGAGTTTATCCATTCCTGGGTTTGTCGCTGCCACTCTAGGGAGGTTCTAGCTGGACAATCCAATGAGCTCTTTGTGTCTTCTAAGTTGGATGCATGTTGTCTCTCTAGAGAGTTTCCTTTTCTCTCTGCTGAGTTTTCCACGTTACCAGCATGCTGGCTCGGGCCTATTTGCTGCCTTAAACCCTGACCTGGTGGGGGATCTGGTGGTGGTGGAAGATCTAAAAATTTTGAATAATGTTTAGAATGGACTAATATTTAATGAAAAATACAGGTTTTAGTTCAAGTTGAAGAAAACCTTTGCCCTCATTCAGGTATCACCCATGCAAAATAAATTTGGGGAAAATAAAAGTCAATTATTTATTTCCAAAATACATATTACTGATATCCCTGCTATCTTTTGGCCACAGCATCATTAAGATAAAATTGACGGGTTTTCTTCAACTGTTAAACTTGTAAAGTGTTTTCCATTTGTACAATGAGGCTATTATTCAAGGTGTAAAGGGCAGTTTGTAGTTTATATTCAATCCATTGTCCAACCCTCCCTCCCTAAAGTAGAAATACCATGACACAAAATAAGATCACTAGAAATTCTAGAAGCTGTGCTAACAAAAGGCCCCATGTAGAACAAAAACTCTTCTGTCAATCTTCATAGGAAATGTCACCCTCGGGAAATTAAGAACTATATGCCGTATCATACGCAACATATGACTGCCTTTACCCATGTATGTGGCACATTTAGCAACAGTCAACGGGTTAAGCTAACGTTTATTAAATGCAATTAACATTCTGCCTGACAACCAATTCTGGCTGTTCGTTTCATGAGTTAGCTAATGAGTTACAACTAATATATTATAATCTTCCAATGTATTAATTTTAATAAGCAATAACCAATGTTCAGAGTACAGACTGAATATGCTTTATGGTGCTATATTAAGTGCATCATGGAAATTTGAGGTGTAGTAGAATAGATTATTTTTCAGAAAAGCTTTTTTAAAAATATCGGATATGAAAAAAATCAGAAGTTCAAGTATGAATTATTCATTTTCCTTTTACTAACTCTTCAGATCATGATACATTTATATGTTTAATGTTTTAAATTGTGAGATCAGAATCTTTTCTTTTACCTTTAACTATACATTAGTTCTGAAATTACTAAAAATTTTGAAATCTTATTCACATAAATTTGGACTGTTTTCTTCTAATTTTTCTTGCACATGATTGCAAACTTCTTTGTTAAACATGAGGGTGTTGATAATATTATTATTTGTTCATAAAAACCAAAGATTATATAGAATATACATTTATTTCAGTAATAGATGATGTTATGCATAAAATAGGCAATTATTTCCTATGTCGGTTTTGTAAAAGCTTTCTTTTGTTTCTAATTATATTCCCTTTGTGAAATTTAGAAGAGAAAAGTATAAATTTCTTGCGTACAAAAGAGAGCTTCCTTATTGGAAGGCTAAGCTACTCCTTTTAAAGATTTTCTTTCAAGAGCAAAATACTACTATCTTCCATTGAACTGATAATGATGGTCTCCTGAGCATCTGAGCTGAGAGTTTCTAAGTTGGGTCAACATTCTCAGTTCTTATGTATGTCTTTACTAAGATTATGAATTGCTAATTATTGAAGGGAACAAGGTTTCTGGGAAAATAAAGTTGCGTTTGGAACAATTCTTCCAAAATAAAGAACTAATCTAATACTGAGATATCTGTTTGTTGGATAATCCAATGAGTTTGGTGTGTCCTTCATATTCAATAGTACTGACTTCCTTCACTATACATTATTATAAATGCAAATTAATTATTTCATTGAGTCATTGAACTTAGACTGCCAGTGAGGAGAAATTGTTTTATTTGCTTCCAAAATAACCTATCTTGTCATTGATTTTTATCCTCCATCAGAACAGCTTGATTTTTTAAATGCCCAAAATGGCATTTGCTTATGCCAGCTAAAATTCTGATTATTATCATATTTAATTTAACCTAAAATTATATACTTCATAATTAAGTAACATACTTGAAGTTTATATATTTCTAAGAAGAAAAGACATTGCATGAACATTGAAATAAGCAAATTGGAAAAAGACATGGGATTAAGAATGGTTATAGAAAAATAAAAGTATATAATCAAATACATTTGCTTAAATTAAATTTATTATTCATTTCTATGTTGATTCATTTCAACTAAATCAATTCACAACAGAGTCTCTTAGTGGTCTACTGAGGATTAGTTATTATCTGGCACACAATAGTCCAATGACATAGGTGCCATTATTATCTCTCCTTTTTAGGTAAGAAGGAGGCACAAAGAATTGAAAATCTCCAGCTGGATCTATCCTATCATGAACTTCAGACACACTGGACAGTTGCGCCTAGATGTTTAGATTGCTGCTCAAATTTTACATGTTAAAACTGAGCTTTAGATTATCCTCTATATAATATGCTACATCTATAGTGTTCCTCCTCTCAATTAGTGGCAATTTCATTCTACAAGTTGGTCAAAACTTTGGAATAATTTTTGATTTTCTTGCTTTACAGCCTCTGTTTAATTTCATTAACAAATCCTGTTAGTTAACTCCAGTTCTAGAATCCAAACTTTCTCATCATTTCTACTGATTCTACCTCGATATGAACTACCATTATCTATTCCGTATGTTGTGAAAGATCTACTACAAGATCTCAGTGTTTACACTTTTGCCCCAATTTGTGTATCAGCATACAACAACTAGAATTACATTTTTTTATAAAAATATAAATAAGATCATGTCACTCCTCTGCCTTACACACACAAATGTATGCACACACACACGTACAAACACACACGCACACACACCCCTCCAGTGGTTGCCCATTCAAAATAAGAGCCAATGTCATTACAATAGATTAAAGGTCCTACAAACATTGTCCCTTATTTGATTGTCTGACTTCATATTCCATTTTGTTGCTCTCTCTGCCCCAGTCATACTGTTCCCTTTCCTTTTTATCAAATAAGCCCCAGGCTTTCCTTTGTTGTTCTCATTTCCTGGAATGTCTTTCTTCAGACATCAGCATTGTTCTTTCACTTCTATTCTTCCAGTCTCTTCTCAAATGTCACGTTCTCTTTTAGGCCTTCCCTGAGCACCCTACATAAAAATATGTCCTCCCTATACTTATACTTCTCAACTTCCTCCCCTTTCTTTTTTGCCCATAGTATTTATCACCATCTTCCTTATACTTTCATTTATGTATTTATGTTGGTCTTTATCTATCTTCCCTCACTAGAATATAAGAGGGCAGGGAATTTTGTCTGTTTGGTTCTCATTGTCTATCATATGATATATGCTTAATAAATATTTAAGTGAATAGATTAACAAACGTATAAATATGCTCAAAGGCCAAAGCTAACATATGACAGAGCTGGGGAAGAGCCCTTTCTATGAAGAGGGTATAATGAACTAAGACAAGGGAGGACAGGCTGAAAAGAAATTATCTAGAGAAATGAATCAGTGGGTAGGGGTCTGCCTTCTTTGTTCAGCATTTGTCAGTGTATCGGCTTCAAAGGGTATTCTTTGACTTACTACGCAAGTGGAATAGAAGATGTGGATTCAAAAATGCCTGCTTAGGGAAGACTTTATATAAGGAAGAAGAGTTCTCTTTAAAATGTGTGTGTGTACTCCTACAATATTCTGAAATTTTTTTAAAAAAGGACATAATACAAAAAAAATTAATAATAAAATAAGATGTGTGTGTGTGTGTGTGTGTGTGTGTGTGTGTGTTTGCATAGCCTTTGAGATAGAGACTGACATTTCCCACTGTTCCCAAATTCTCTTACTGGTCACAGGGAAGATTACTTTCCCGCCCCAGTAGTAAGTTTGACACCCTATGACAGAGTTCTTGTCGATAAAATATGAGAAATGACGTGCCACTTGCCATTAGAATGTCCCAGTGACCAATCATGTTCTGTTTTCTCCTCACTCAAAACCCATAAAGGTATAATCTTGAAAATAATGGTATCCCAATACTGAAAAGGCCTACATCCCAACAACACTATTGTAAAATCCATAATGCAAAAGTTTTAGTGTCTATACACTAAAAGCTAAGCAGCAACCTTTCCAAAAAGAACAAGTTGATTTTTATATAAATGTTATGATAGTATTCCTGACATATGGATTCATATCATATAAATGCTAAGGCATATGATTTGCTGTAATATAACAATGTTCTTAAGGATAATCTGTAGAATGCCATCCAAAATAAATGTCTTCACACTGTATCATAATTTAAATGCCTCTGGATCAAACACTTGTGAAGACATGTGGGGTGAAATTTCCTTTGCAATATCACTACTTCCAAAATGTATGGTTTACTAATAGCACATAACCCATAACACCTTTTTGGAATGCTGGCACATTTGAAAATTTAGTAACCTATCTGTTTTTTAGAAAGATAAATAATACATTGATCATGCTTTAAACTAGAAGGTAGCTTGCATTAAGTGGACATTCTAAAAAAGCTTGCAACAAAAGTGTTCTAGGTAGAAAAATATCTCCTTTTTTGTTGTTTTATATATTATGTCTTACATATATTTGGAATATGATCGTCAAACATTTCAGAAAGATCACAGAAAAATATATACCTAGATTTTTTTTCTCTTTCCACAATATTCAGAGCAGGAATTATAAAAAATTATTAATTCTTAGATTTATAAATAACATATCAGTGAGAGTAGTGCTTTTTATTTAGAGAAAATAAGAGCAACACTACAAACTGCTTTAAGTGCTCAACTAATCTTCAGAATATCTGAGGCAGAAAGGCAGTGGTGAGCATTTTTGCTCACCATGGGATATTTATTTATAGAGAATCAAAATCTTGGTTATACCCTTAACCTTCGTATTCTATAGAAACACTTCCCAATGAAAACAAAGTTAGCGAAAAAGATAAGTAAATATGGAAGATTTTAGAAAAAGTATGCTTGGCTTTTTAAGTTTTCTTGGCATTGTAAGATGACCAAAGAAAGCACAAAGGTGGCTATCAGGCAAGGTACTCATTCCCCCAAACTAATAAAAAACAAATATATTTCCTCTTTTCCAACTAAGCTTCATTCTGTCTTATAATGATTAGTATAAGTGTGCTAGGAACTAGGGCATAGCTTCTTCAAGTTGGATGTGCATTAGATTAATTTGTAGAGCTTTAAAAATACTCATAACTGGGTTTCACCCCTGAACAATTAAATCAGAATCTCTAGGGTATATTTTAAGAGATCCCAAGATAGTTCTAATGTGCAATTTGCTTAAGTTCATCCTTTTGGTGTTCAGTATTAATAGAACTATCTTACGATAAAGTTTGTGTGCTTGTGGGGGATAATGCCAAGAAGGGCCAATGTCTGAGGCTGACATTATACTAGTCACTTTAAATACATTATGTTATCTATCCTTAGGATAAAACTTAAGGATAAATATGTTTATTCATACTTTAAAAGATAGAAAATTAAGTAGAAAATATGGGAAATAGACTATGCTCTGTAGAGCCCATGAAATATTCATAATTGAACATGAACATCTTCTAGTAATATTGTGTTTCCTGAAACTAGCAATGTTTAAGCAAATATTCAGAGATTGGATATTATATATAAATAGAACGTTTGAAATAGATCATCTATAAATCTATAAATAGAATGTTTGAAATAGATCAGCACAGTGTGACCTATGACCAAATTCAGCCACTGCCTATTTTGTCAATAATGTTTTATTGGAAACTGGTCACACTCATTCTTTTACTTTTTCTATAGCTAAGCTCATACAACAGTGATAGTGTTTAGTAGTTGTGACAAAGCCCTTTTGCCCAGAGCCAAAAATATTTACTATGAATCATTGTGTACCCCCAAAATGTATATGTTGAAATCCCAACCCTGTAATGTGATGGTAGTGGGAGGTGGAGCCTTTGGGAGGTGATTAGGTCACAATGGTGGAGTATTCATGAATGAGATCAGTGCCCTTATAAAACACATCCCAAAGAGATTCTAGCCCTTTCCACTATGTGAGGACACAATGACAAGGCACCATCAATGAACCAGAAAGTGGACCCTCACCAGACACCAAATCTTCCAGGGACATGATCTTGGACTTTCCAAGCTCCAAAACTATGAGAAATAAATTGCTGTTGTTTATAAGCTACCTAGGATATAGTACAGTCATGAATTCCTTGACAATGGGGATATATTCTGAAAAATTTGATTTAGTCATTGTGAAAAAATCATAGAGTGCAGTTATAAAAACCTATATAGTTTAGCCAACTACACACCTAGGCTATATGGTATAGCTTACTACTCCCAGGCTACAAACCTGTACAGCACATTACTATACTGAATACCGTAGGCAATTGTAACACAGCGGTAATTATTTGTGTATATAAACTTATCTAAACATAGAAAAGATACAATAAAAAATACAATATTATCTTATTGCACCACCAAGGTATATGCAGTCTGTCAATTGACTGAAATGACATTATGCAATGCATAACTTTATTTTGTTATAGCAATCCAACAGCTTATGACAGTCTTCAAATACATGACCTATGGGATGTTTTTAGCTCTAAAAGTCATGACACTAAAATATAACCAATTCATTTCAAGGTTTTTTTCTTTTCCAAAGATGAAATGCCATGTAAGATACTGTAGTTTAATATCACACAAGTTCTGATAATATAAGTGGACATGCTGCTCATGTTTTCTTTCCTATTCTTAAAGTGGAATGTTCACTAAAAAGCATTAATAAAAGATACCACAATGTCAAAAAAAAATCAAATCAACAATGAAAAGCGGTATGGCATATATTTCTTGGGGTTTGATATTATAGAAATAACTCCAGATGGTTAAAAAACAAAAGGAGGGTGTTTTATTTAAATAAGACCACATTGATTGCTAGGTGTCTGCTTTGTTATGTAATGAGGCAATGACTAATCTACCATAACTACTTTAATCTAAGTTAATAATTGCATGGAGCACATCTCTTCAATGAGGAGAAAAGGGTAAAGGAAAGAAACTTACCATCTGTCATTCCTTCCCTTCGATGAGGCAATGCTGGTTGTTGGTCCATTCGTCCTCCCTTGTGTTTTTTAGTGGGCCTAGGCCTCTGACTTTGATTCAGAGCTGCACTGGTATTACTGTCAGTAGAAAATGGGCTGGTGGGTCGAGGTCTTTGAGAGGAGGTAAAGGCTTTTCCTAAAAAGAAAACAAAAGGAATAGGGTATAGAGAATGTCATTATAATATACTGGTTCTGTCTGTCTTGTATTTCTGCCCTAAGACTAGCCTGTAAATCTACCTAGAGATGCTGTTTGAAGATACCAAATATTGGCGCATCTCTGTAGAACATGTATACCCAGCTGCACATATTTTGTCCAATTTTTAACAAGCTAACAACATCCTACACACTAAAAAAATTCAAATAAATGAACATAAAACAAATCCACTGATCAAAAACTCAATATTCCTTGATTATATTTTTTATTTAACCTTGATGATTTTAGTGATATTTTCATAGATATGTGAAAATTTATGCAGCTCTAACTTCTTAAAATTAAAGAAGCTATTTCTGAAATAAAATGTGTACTGTCTTATTTGTTTTATCAAATTTCACCCTTGGAACTTTACAAAATCTCTCCGAGCATAGAAAAATGTCATATAGTAATTACATTTGAAATTTTACATGAAAGGTCTGCTCAGACACATATATTAAATTGACCTTACCACCTATGCACATACACGAGAATTCTATCTCTTTTGGCAGAAATTCAATAACGTCAGTGTAGAGGATAGCAGGCTAAAATCACCTTGTATATCCAAAGTGCAATAGGTGTTTTCTGATGAATATTATTGTATCTGTGCAGACTCCAAATTCTCACTGAAAAAAATGAAATGTGCTATGTCCTATTCTTGTGGTTGAATGTACATATACAGGGAAATTTATTTTGGGAAAAGGTTAGCCAATAATATTTCAACAACTTATGATTTTAATACCATTTTATTATAGTGAGAGGCCTAGTTTATGTGCATGTATTTATTCTTCTGTGCATGTTTTCATTTCATACAAAATTATTGTATGTAGTTATGGTTTCTTAAGTCAATGTGACATGATATTGCTTAATGCTTTATTAGCTATTAGCATACATGCAAGAAATGCACTTATGCCTTCTAATTTATTAGTTTCTTTGCAATTTCTCACTCCTCTGCTTACAGCTAATGCCACAAAAAGCACTCAGGCGACATAAAGTTTCCAACTTATGCCTTATAAAGCAAGAAAATTCAAATAACAGTTATATTACAACATATTTTAGTTTGGATGCTATATGAAAAATAAACCTCTGCAATGTTTAGAAAAATATTTTTTATTTCTTTTGTAGATACCTAATGCATGCTCAAAAGAAATATTGATGGTATAATTCAGAGAACTGCTAAGACTCACTTTTATAACCTGAGAGTTTAGTGAAGGGTCAAAATCATTTTTCTTTACTAGCTGAACACTATTAAGATTTCAAAAATGCAATGATTGCGTTTGTTTTGTAAGGTAGCTCAGTTTAATTCATAAATTAGAATCTTCCTATATGTGCAGTTAAGAAGCACACACAGAAATATAAGAGCATGCATTATGCTAAAGTTACTTTGTTTCAGCAAAATAAATGATTGCAAATTACTGAACTATTATTAGAGTTAATCCCATATTTCTTTTCTGTGGAATGAGCAGCACATGAAAAATGACACATTGGTCTTTTTATATTATTACTTATCACTCTTGGAAATCAAAATTAAATTACCCTATAAAGCAATACACATGTAGTCATTATTTCACTAAACTTGCAAATGCAGTGGGTCTATCTTTAATTAGCATCCTTTAAAACAAGTAATAAATTATTGCATTAAAATCTTAACAGCCAAACAATTAATAAGATCATCAGCCATTTGAACTGTTAGACCAACAGCCTTAGACCCATTCACCCCATGCTGAGGAAGCCTTCCCAGAAAATGCATTTGTAGAAGGAGATGGGGCAAAGAAAAGTAATGGAAATAGAAGCTGAATAATTTTAATCACTGGGTATGTTATTGATTATGTGAGTATTTTGCAAAGTATGAGTTATTGAATATTTAATGGCAATCTTAGTTGCTGCTTTGCTGTAATATAAAAAGGAAGCATATTCCAATTAATCAACAGAGCCATGAAGAAAAAAGGAAATAAAAGATAGAAGGTGGTGAATAGGAGTCTATTTCTGGCTCTGCAAAACTAGCATCAGAAGAGAGTTTTGGTAGTGCAGCATTCAAACTGCGTTCATGCATGTTAAACAAAGCCCTATGTAGTCAGACTCACTAAGAAGAAAGAACAGAAGAGAAAAAGTTCAGTGTCCAAAGGACAAGATTCTCTCATGCAAAGAGTGTTGACTTTGAGTCTACCAACCTGTTCTTGTAAGGCTGGTTCCATCCAGCCTAAAACCAGCTTTATCTGCTGCTGCCACCAGTGCTTGTGCAAAACTGCCGTTGGCAAAGATGGAGCCATCTGAGGAGCTACCTACACTAGATCTATGACTAGAAAAGTTACGATCCTCATCAGATGCAGAGCCCCATCCATTTACCATTGAACCTAAAAACAAATGTAGTTGTCCAATGAGTTGTATATACTGGATATCTCATTTGCTTGCACAAACTATACTAATGAACAAGTAGGCTATCTCAACTCCTCGCTTCTTCCTTGAGGTTTCATCATGACTTCTTTAGCCAAATGCAAGCCTCACCCATGTTTTAAACATTCTTATTGCAGAAGAATGATGCTCATTTAAAACCTATATTTGTTAGCAACATGTGAACAAAACATGTTCTATATTGTTTACTTTTTAAACTGTTTAAATTATTACACGATCATTTTCAAAAAGGGAATTGTTACCTCTATTTTAAGTTGCTACAATTAAAAAATAAACACTTATTGAAACAAAGTAAATAGTGTATTTAAACTTGTCAAAGACTCAGTTGAAGAAATAGTGTGACTATATTTTGAATTTAAGACTCCAATGGTAATCTGAATAAAAACTATACCTGTTTACTGTAGAAGGGCTACAATTATATCAAGATTTTAAAACAAACACTTAAGTACTCATGAAATAACAACAAAAATTCATAAACAAAAAAACTATAAAAGCAATTAACTCAGGACATAAGAAAAATGTATTTTACAAAAGGTCTACTAATGTCACTGCTCATTAATGCTTTCTTTACTTTTTAATCATTTTAAGAACTCCAGCTGTTTAAGTATTAATATTTATCTTAAACATAAAATTTATGAAGAATATTAGAAGTATTAATGTGGATTTTTCTGCAAAGTGCAACTTAGCAATAGAGCAGAAGAACTTCAGCTTTATCTGTAGAGAGTTATAAATTGTGAAGATACAGAGAAATAATCTTAATTCTTAATTTTCTAACAAGTCATTCACAATTTTACAATTTTTCTTAGACAAAGGCACATTGGAAACTTAAGCTACTGCTTACTAAAATTAATATTATAATATTTATTTAAGTTTACATATTATTAATTCATGACACAACAAACTATTGCTTATCCTGAATTTTGTTAAGATGACAAAAAAGTATTTATAAGAAGTTAATGTAAGATTTCTACATAAACCAAACATATATTTACATGAAAGAATTGAAAGTCAAATGCTGAAGCTTATTTTTCTTTTTCTCCAATATTTAAGAAACAACAGTATAGTTAGGAGTGTTGCCATGATGCAGTGTTTGTAATTTTAGTCGAGGTGCCAGGATGCAATAACATGGATTCATGCACTTTCGAGACAGAGAAAACAGAAACTGATGGGGTTAGAATGATTTGAGAAGTTAAAAGGGTGTTAAGTGTAGCAAAGAAAGATAGAGTTTTGATTCTATTTGCCAAAAGCACAGAGATACACTTTTTACTTTCCAGACAAATTCCCTTGACACAGGCCACTGCAAAGAAGCTGAGATAACAGCAGCAACTGAGCCTCCTCGGAGAGAATCATTTCTGGATTAATAATCACAAGTCAAGGACCAACAGCCCAAATTGAAAGAAGAATTGATGCAATAGGCTTTGCAATATAATGCTACAGTAGATAAGAAAAAAAAAAAATCAAAGTATTTCAGTGAGGGGTCACAAAAGAAAATGAAATTCTAAAACTGATGATACTTTTAAAACATTTAAAAGCTCACTCCCAATCCATTTAAGTGTTGTTTTATGTATTTCTAAACATCTGTTCTCACTTTCCAAATAAGAATCTCTTTATTCTTCATGTCCAGTTTTATTCCTAAACTCTTTCTTATTTCTTTCTAGTTTCTTCTATTGTCCTCATTTTTATCTACATTATCTTTCTGAATCACTTGCCTAACACTTATGTTGCTCTGTTTAAAGCCTTACCTCTTTCATCGATACCACATCCTAACTCCTAATCAGGTATTTGTGACTCTTCAATATCTAGCCTATCCTACCTTTGTAGCCCTATTCACTCTGACAGCCTGTGCAGGCTCCTTGCCCCACATATACAGTATCACTTCCCATTCTTTGGACATACCTCTGTATTGCTACCAACTCTTAACCACTGCTCAACTTTAAAGTCTACATGAAATGCCTTCTCTTTTACAACCTTGATTCTACTGTATCCCAGGGAGAGTCAATCTCCCTATCTCCTTTGTTTTCCAAATACTATGCATACAGTTAGTATATCAGTTATTTCTATATATTCTCTTTGTTTTTTGCATATATATGTTTCTTTTTCTAGACAGTGGAATTCTGGAAATTAGAAAGTATCTCATATTCATTTTCATGTTTCCCATACAGTGATAGTGCGCAGGAGAAATTCAATAAACAGTGGGCATTTTGAATTAAATGCCTTTGTGTCTTTGCTCAGATTTTCTCTCAACCTTTAATACTCCTTGGCATGTCCCTAGAAATCTCATTTATTTGTGAAGTTTTTTCCTGATGCCTTTTTTCCTTCTGGGAATAGAGAGTAACATGGAAGATACAGCTTGAAGTGGGTGCTGGTCAATATAGAAAGAACATCAGCTATTCTTTCTTTTGTACTCCCTGTAAGAGAAAAGAGACTAGATAGACTCTTCAGAGTTGAAGATACACGTACCATAGATATTTGGCACATTGGGCAATGGGGAACTTAATGTCTCAAGCTAATGAGAGGGAAATGCCTCATGTTAGTATAGCTGTGTTTGCCTTCAAAATGGAGGGCAAGGATCATAAACAGAAAGAAATTTTCCCTCTCTTTCCTTTTGTCTCTCTGCCTTTGTCGACAACCCCTTCCCTCAATTTGGGTAAGATATATGGAATGGCACATTTGTAGAAAATATTTTTTAAGATATTTGGCCACATTCCATGAATAAAAAAATAAATGACATATATTATCATTCTTCCTGTGAAATTGCTAAAATTCATTTAACATTTACTGATTTTACCTCTCATTGGCTACCAATTCTTTTTTTTTGGTTTTAACCTTGAGGATTGCCTGGAGGTTTTGGTTAATTATTTTTGAGGAATTAAGGAAGGAATTAAAAGGCCACTTAACAAATTAAAATTTTTATTTCTTGATTTGAAAGTTAGTTCTTTTTTTGTTAATTGTTTTTTGTCATAAATGTAAGTATAAACATGAAAATTAAAATGAATATCAGGTTAAAACAACTCAGCTAGAGATTCTTTGCAAGTTACAAGCAATCCATGCCAATTTGACATGTGATAGCCCCAAGCATAATCAATACATGTTTAAACATGTAATAAAAAATGAATTTATGTCATATAGCCAAATTTATTTGTGTTTACAATTCCAGTCTTTCCAAATTTCTCAGATTTAAAATTGCTGAAAGACTAAAAACAATCTCAAATTTATTAAAGCTGTTAAAGAAGAACTGCACATAGGACATTAAGTTGTTGCTCAAATGTTACTGAGTAGTAAAATACCATGATAAAGTGGCATCTTGCTGTGTCTCTATTACATCTTCAGCACTAAAATTAATTTATGATCAGTCATCAATTCATTTACATGTCATTTTATGCTAAATCCTTCCTTGCTGATAAATGCTTATCCTTAGATCCATTAAGCTAGAGTAAAGTCTGTTCTCTATAACATGACCTGCTAATTGTTACATTTCCATTTTTATGGGATACAAAAACTAACTGTCCCCCATTTTTTCAGTCAATATTTAATCTAAGAACTTTTCCTATTAAGTGCTATTTGCCTAACTACCTGTTAAGTAAAATTTGCAGCTGTAAATATCTTTAGACAGATCCATCCAAATATTGACCTATGTCTTGATGTAGAAAAACATGTCTAATCTACAGAAGTTCTTCTTTCACTCAAATATACTGAATATGAAACAATTCCACTATATTACTCAGAGAGAAAGGAATGTGTAATATATATGCAAAGCAAAACAAGCCATTAAAAATATCTTGTCCTTGGGACATACGATGCCTATTACACCTTGTTTCACTTAGAAAAAAATTGCACATATAATATCCCCCTTTGTACCTGTTAAATTTTGAAGTATATATGTAATTTATTTTTAAAGACTTAAAAGCTGTCAAGGTAGTTTAAGAAAATGATTTAATTATTTTAGCATTATCCCTGAAATTTTCCTTAATACTAAAATTATTTTCTCTAAGTTTTTGTAGCAAAAAACAAAGCTTCAAGTCAAACTTTTTAGTAGCCAAGGCCGTAAAATCTGTGTGGTCGAGTCAGATGCTGAGACTGCCAGGTTTTATTGTTTTCATACTGATCTGGTATGGGAGTTCCAGTAAAAACCTCCAAAAACATAAAATAGAAAATATAGAGCCATGATTTCCTTTCAGCCGTGGTATTCTTGTGGGGTCCAGCAGTCAAGGGAACTTTCATTTGCTTCACTTAACAGCACACACTCTCAGTCTTACTTTTTGTGATCACTGAGGCAGTTAGAATCTTGGCTACACGTTGAGGACATTTTCCTCCTGCACTCTCTTCTATTGCCTTCTGTTTCTTTTTTCCTGGTGGTGTCATTAAATTCAGGAAACAATTACCCTTGACTACCACCATGGAAGTTACAGAAAGAAGTATTAAAGGCTTCTCCCTCCCTGTTATCCAAAGGTTTGGCATTTAGGAAGAAATATTAGAAGTGAATTTTGGAAGACTGAAACAATCCTGTATGTTTATTTTCTAGCCCAAAACAGAGCATGATTTGCCGTAATAAAAATATCTTTTATATTTTATTACAATCAAATATGTGTACATTATGAGCATAGCTTAAAATGAAAATCACAAAATGGAGATTCCCTACCCAAAATGCTGATAAAGTTGAATTTTGTTAGCATGGGTGACTATAACTAAACATAGAACTAAATAAATAATAAAAGTCATCTAAAAATTAATATTTTGACCTTGATTAAATGTCAACGAAGACTAATGTTTCCAGTGATAAAATTGTATGTTGTATTTCTGTAGTTCCCAACCCCTGAGGTATGGACCAGTACCAGTCTGTGGCCTGTTAGGAACAGGGCCACACAGCAGAAGGTGAGCAGCAGGCGAGGGAGGAAAGCTTCATCTGTATTTACAACTGTTCTCCATCACTCACATCATTGCCTGAGCTCCACCTCCTGTCAGATCAGTGGTGGCGTTAGATTCTCATAGGAGCACGGACCCTACTGTGAACTGTGCATGGGAGGGATCTAGGTTGCATGCTTCTTATGAAAATCTAATGCCCTGAGGTGGAGTTGAGGTGGTGATGCTAGCACTGGGGAGCAGTTGCAAATATAGATTATCATTAGCAGAAAAGTTTGACCACACAATAAATGTAATGTGCTTGAATCATCCTGAAGCCAACCCCTCAATCTGTGGGAAAATTCTGTAAAATTGGTCCCCGGTGCCAAAAATGTTGGGACTGCTGTTATATTTGTATAAGTACATATTTTTTCATATGTGTACACATACACACAGATCTACATACTGAGAAACATACTAGAACATTAATTTCCTCTTAAATATACTAATTCCAGAGATTAGAAGAAAGCTGGGTGTTTCCAGAGCAGAATCATCACAATTTATCTTTAGAATAAGACTGATTGACTTTGAACATTATTCTGCTGCTTATCAGGTGAGTGACCTTGAAAAGGCTTTAAATCCCTCTATGACTTAATTTATATATCTGTAAAAAGAGAATAAGAATACAGTTGTGAGGGTTAAATAAATATACATTAAAATTTTAGAATAAGGGTCAGCGAACTTTGTCTACAAAGTGACATACTAAATATTTTAGGCTTTGCTATCTCTGTCATATATATTTTGTTTTTGTTTGCTTGTTTCTTATTTTTTTTATAACATTTTTTAAAAATGAAAAACCATTCCTAGCTCATGAGGTCACACAAAAAACAGGCCACAGCTTAGAAAGGTACCTTGCACTTACTAAGGGCTATATATGTGCTACTTATTATTATTATTGAATCTAAATTTCTAGACAAGTGATTGAAAGTAATAAGTATTTAATTAAGCATTTGTTGTAGAAATAGATAAATAATACAGAAGAACTGTAAAAACATAGCTTCCATTACTGAGATCACGAAATGCATAAATATTGATATTTTCCTCTCTTCTTGCTTTTTCCATTCTCAAATCATGACTTCAAATTTTAAGAAATTCCCCCAAATTAGTTGTTATAAAAAAATTTGTAGTTAACATGCTTATACAGATAAGCTTTTTTCCTTGTTAACTGCTGATACTGTCTAATGTGGCAGCCACTAAGTGTAATATATCCATGTAAAATCCTGCATGATTTTATATACAGGCTCAATAGCCCATCCCAGTGTTATCACTGAGCTATCATTTTGATTGGCTTCAGAGTTTCAGAGACTGGAACATAATAACTGTTAGTTTTGTTTAATAAAATGGTCATTAGTTTCATGAAAATGAAAACAACTACCAGGGAATTTCAGGAGAACACAATGACTAATTTACTTACACCACAAACAAATTTTGAACTCAAAGTAACTAACCACAAACAAATTTTGAACTCAAAGTAACTAACTGATGGTGAGATCCTCTCTATGGGCACTTACCATTTAAAAACATAAAACGCCAATGGAAATAGTGCCCGTTTTATTGTCCACCTCATTTAGCACCATTATACTAGTCTTAAGTGTCTGAAGAAAACATAAGCATGTTAGAACAGTATTCATTAGCATGCTGATTTATCTAATATTTGGGGTCCCTGTGTACATCTAATTCAGGGCTATTCTCACATATACATTCATGCATGCACTTACAACCTTATTTAAACTCTCACACATTTATATGCACACAAACACTCCCTACACACACACACACACACCCCATACTGTAATACATTCACACACCTTATACACACATACATACTTGTATACACTCACACACAATCCCTAGAAAGCAAATTAAATCTTTGATCATATTCTTCTACACAGAGTTATTGTGGAGAGGAAAGAAAAAAGAAATAGAAGGGGTTATATTTGGCTACTTTTGTGTAGAGTGCAACTTCTTTTACTAAGGAGATGTATTATTCATAGGATAATCTCATCATGGAACACATACATAAACACCCTGAGTTTTTTATATACAGCAGTAATTAAGCGGCGAATTCAAGTCGGAAAACAGACTTTGTTTTTTTTGTGATAAAAGCTTCATTTGGAATAAATCTTATACCAGCTATAGGATAAATTCAGTTTGCTTGAACTACAGCCACATTACACAGCCTAACATGTGACAGGTGAGCATGTAAAAGTACAAAATGGTATTCTTCTGATTTACAGATAATTTATCGTCTTTGACATTACAATATTTAATAAAAGAACTACATAGGCTATAGCTGATATTTTTCATTATTATTGCAATTATTTACTGCATTCCTAATGGAAAAGAGTTCAGTATCATTAGTGAAATATGCAAAAATATGCAGAATTTTACCCTGAAGGAGATTATGCTGGAAATTCAGGCAAAGGGGCTTAACATAATAGTGCACTAATAAGTCAGCTCTCTGCATTCAAAGATTTTAACTTTTGCTCTGCCACCTTCAGTTGGATCTGGATTTCAAATCACAGCTGTATATCTGCAGTTCTTAAATCTTAATTAGCCTGGCGTGCAGTCCAGCCCTTGAGTAAGAAGAAAAACTGAACAGTGGGCTCGTGCAAAATGCATTGTGCAATTCAGGAAGTGATGCAGAGGAAAGTCACAGGCACTGATGGTGCTTCGTCACTGTCATAAACCAGTTTCCATCAGTGTTTGCAGAACTCTAACACGTAGTGCAAAATCTGTGGAAGTTAGAAAGCTGTTGGCACAAAAATGAATTAAGTGAAGCTGTGATAATATACTTCCTAGGATGAAAGATGTCAGCAAGGTAAATACAGGTATGGGTGTTTTCTGAGAAGACAAAATGAAATGCAAAGATCAGACTTAAATTAGTAGTAATTGTGACTTCATAGTCACATATTCTGGCATAGGAGGCATATTCTGGTGTGTCAAAGAATGAATACCTAATTAAATAGAAAGACTGAAATTTTACTTTTTGCCTAGTCATTATGTGTATCTTAGGATTTTAAAGTTTCTAGCAAAATTTGATGAATTTAAATTCTTGTAAATAGGTTATGCATCATTCCTGGGATCATCATATGTGAGTACCAGTTGAAGTTGTAACTTAGTGAACAAGGCAAGAGGAAGCCAAAGAAGTAAACAGTAAAAATAACTCTGATTCTTGGGATAGGAGTATTTACTGGATTCTGCAATATGAAATACATAAACATATGCTTTATCTCACTGCACATTTCCTCCACTCCAAAAAGAATGCCTTCTGCAAACTTAGAGAGGCTTCTTCTGAAGACTTGCTTATTTTCATCAGTGAATGGTTTTACAGAGTGAATTATCAAGAAGCGCTTTAAGATTGCATTCACTTTGTATGTTGTGCCTGATATACAAAATATATCATTTCTAAAAGTCAAGGTTTTTTATGTAGTAGACTTGGTTCCCTAGTAGAGTGAACTTTTCATGAAAGCCCTGGATATAATTGAGTTTTCTTTCATGTCTTTAAAGCTTTTTAAAATTCATGAATTTTCTTATCATTTTTGCAGCAAAGCAAAAGTATTACCAAATCCTTTTTGAATTTTGTGTTTAATATTAACATATTTAAAATGTTACAGAAATAGATGGAGTGGAATAAATCTTACATAAGAAAGTATTTGATTTTTGATGCATTTTAATGTTACAAATAGGTCAGTTATTCCTGTTAAATTGGGTCCATTACCTGTCACAGAGCTGTCTAGATTGTCCATACTGGATCCGGGTGTCTGGTCTAGTGCTCTCAGGGGCCTGGGGATTTCTAAAGCTTCCTCTTCATCATCAGCATCATCATCTGCAACATCTGTTTCCAAATCAGAAATCAAGGCTCCAGACACGTAACCTAATGGTGGAACCGGGGGCTGTGGAGGTTGATTATTGCTTTGCATGTGCCTAGAATTCAAATGAAATTTTTTTTTAAAAAAAGGAATTCATTAACATTCAACAAAATTATAATTTGATTTAAATGGCATGCGATAGCAACTAATAGTGTGTTCTTCCTTTCCATTAACTAAGTTTGGAGCTTACAGTGCTTTCTCATACTTCACCAGAGACAATGGGCTGCAGATACATGACTTACCAAACAAGGACAACATAGGCAATTTAACTCTTGATTAGTATTTATAGGACAATACAGAATTTTAGTATTTTTGTATACATAAGACATCCGGAGGAGAATAGGAATATTTGTCACAAATAACTATTTACAGTTAACTTTTTTCTCTAATAAGAATACAAAATTTTTGTTCCTAGTTACTGTCAAAATTCTACTCAGTCTGTGTAACTACCTCATGCTGTCTGCTGCCCCTTATGAAGAAAAGATGCCACATGAGGGCCTATTTTCCAGCCATCCAACCATGACCACATTCCCAGCCTACGAGGCTTTCTTCCTGCATTAGGCTGGATGGTTGTTTCCAATTTAACCCAGTTTAGGGTAGGCACTACTAATTTATGCTCTAGTAACTATTTGTATGTCTGTCTCGCCCACCAAAGTCTTAAACTCCTCAAAGGTGTAAGAGATTCATCACAGCATTCTCTGTGTTTAGAACATTAGTGTATTCAATAAACTTTTTATAATGAATGCATAATTCTAATCTCAATTTTATGAATTAAATATAATATGTATTATCAACCTTCTTTTAGAATTTATTGAAGTGACATGTTTCAGACCAGGTAGCTAACAAAATGTGAAGCTGGACACTAGGGTCCAATTGATTTGCTTTGAGTCTACTTAGAGTTTCCACTAAACCATAAAACACTAAATGAAAGCAATTCATTATTATTTGTTATTGGCACTAAAGAGTGAATGTAGTACATCTTTTAACATATTTTTCTTTGCCTTCATACAAAAGTATTTAAAAGAACCCTGCTATTTAAGAGAGATATAAAACAAGTGCTATGTATTTTCACTGTTGGCTTTTGAATGAAAGAAAATGAGGTGTTTTTTTATTAATAATTTTTCCCCTTTGGTAAATTATTTCATCCTTCCAGAATTTGTTTAATATTCTTCTCCCAATTGCCCTTTGAAATTGTAACCAACTCCAGTAATCCAGGATTCTGGATTATTCAATGTTATAAAAACAAAAATGGACCTGGTACAGTGGCTCACACCCATAATCCTAGTACTCTGGGAGGCTGACATGGGAGGATTGCTTGAGTTCAGGAGTTCTAGACCAGCCTGAGCAAGAGCAAGAGCCTTCTCTACAAATAATAGAAAAATTAGCTGGGTGTGTTGGTGTGTGCCTGTAGCCCCAGCTACTCTGGAGGCTGAGGCAGGAGGATCACTTGAGCCCAGCAGTTTGAGGTTGCAGTGAGCTATGAATATATCACTGCACTCTAGCTGGGGCAATGGAGCAAGACCCTGTCTCAAAAAAATACATATTATTTCTGAAAGCTACCTCAATATCATCAGACCCAAATCTTTAATATAATAGATCAGATATTTAAGCCCCAAGTTATTACTAGGCATTCATCACAACTTATTAATTGAAAAATCAGGAAGGAAAAGCAAGAAAATCTTGAGCATTGACGAACACATCCTGGTGTGTTACCTCAAGTTCTGTTTCTGAATTGGGAATGGAAAGAGCCGGATGATGAACAAGAGGATATAAGGCCATATTTGTACACATGATTCATTCTCCTATAACGGTGTGGACTTTGATCCTGGGAAGGATGGAACAGACCAACACTCCAGTCCTACATCACCAATGGCAACTCTTGACAGAACAAATATATATTACGGGATGAAAAATGTATTCCTTGAGTTAAGGAAAATTAGGAGATAAACTAAAATACAAGAAGAGGGCACATGACACTTATAAATATTTTCTAGTGACAGGCATTGCGCTGCGTACTCATGGATCAATATCTATAGAATCCCTGGAGATAGATCCTAGGGATCATTATTTTTCAAACAGCCCTCCTGTGAAGCTGCTGTGGGACCCAAACGGAGAGCACTTTCAAATCCAAAGGGCAAGGTCTTAGGTGAATGTACAGGGACTCATAGCTCCCATATGAAGAATTAGCTAAGGCATTCTGGAAGATTGCTGGATTCAGTAGAAATATATCCAGAAGGAAAAACATGGTCTGCTCTGTTGGTACTCAGAGCAGGTGAACATGAACTAGTTTGTTCATCTATTTAGCAAATATCTATGAAGTACTTACTAAGTTGGACATTCTTCTAAGTGTGGAAAGAAAGCAGTGAACAACTGAGATCAAAACCCAAGCCATTCTGAATAATAAAAGCTAATATACAGCCAGGTACTTTATTATACAGTACTTGTATAGTACTTTATATACTATACAAGTGCAAACTTATTTAATTCTCACAAAAACTATGATGTGTAACAATGAATTAAACCTTGACCTAAGAGAGGGTAGGCATTTTTCCCTGTACTCCACCTAAGATGTAATCTGTAAGCCCTTAGAATGTCCTGTCTAATAAAAATGTCTCTGTTTACCTGGAAATCTTAGGTGACTCCAGAAAGTATTAATATAACAATATGATTTATGGTGAGGCTTTGAGTTGCATGGTATCAGCTCAACCTCTGGAGGGGCGGGAGACTGAGTCAGCCCTGTGGGTATGCATCAATGTATATGTGACAGAGTCCAGATGAACTCTCAGGAACTCAGGGCTCATGGGCACTTCCTCGATTGGCTAGTACTTTCTGTGTATTGTCACTCTCTGTGCTGACAAGGTAACGCCGTCCACAGTTCCTCGAAGAGAAGACAAGCAGAAGCTCTACTCTTAGAATTTTCCTGGGCTTTGTCTCATGCACCTCTTCTCTTGTCTGATTTTAATCTGCACCTTTTCACTGTAACAAACTGTGACTTTGCCTATAACCACTTTCAGTGAATTCTATGACTTATTCTAGAGAATTCTTGAACCTCAGAGTGGTCTTGGGGACCCTTGAAATTTGTACTTCGTGTCAGAAGTGAGGGTGGTTTGGGGGACTACCTTCTAATATCATATATGAACTAACTACTATTATCACTATCATTTTACACATTGAGAAACTACGGCATATAAATGTTAAGTAAGTTGCCCAAAGTCATACAGCCAGTAAGACAAACAAGTTCACCTCCATGCCAACACTGGCTGTCAAATCCCAGGCTATGATGTAACCAGAATTTATCTGGGGATGGGGACTAAGTATCAATATATTTAAAGGTTATCAAGGTGGTTCTAAAACACAAATTTGAGAACTCCTGAGCTAGAGTCTGTGCTTCAAAGAACTAAACTACACAGTTTTATTAGTTAAGTTGAAGGAAATCCTATGACTCTTTATGCAATTGGCTTCAACTATTTAATGATCGTTTATAAAAAGCAGGTTGATGCAAAAAGTATACTGTTTAATAGGTTGATTTTGAACTTGGGAAAACACCTGAAGATTGTTTGGGAAAAAGCTCTAACTAAAACCTCTGATCCTAAAAAAAAAAAAAGAGCCCGTTTGTAATAAGCTTTACATGATTTCTTGGTTTTGGTTTCTCTTCATATGTGTAATTAGCTATTTCTTAAAAATAGTCATTAACACTGAGTATAAGAATTACCTCATTAGCAATTCATCTTTGTAGATAGAACTATTAAAGACACAAATACTATTTAAAATAATTCACTCTGACTTTAAGAACAGGGTATAAATCAACAGAAGGTAATTGGAGATATGTCACTGAGATTTCACTTTCAAGAGTCCAGACTTATATATCACTATTTGCAAGAAGAAAGACCAAATAAGAAAAAAACCCTATAAATTTGTAAGAGTTAGTCACATTTGTATTTCTGCCATATTTTCACAGAATACCTAAGTAGATTTCCATCTACAGTTTATGAAAGTTTTATTTGGAGCTTTTTATTTATTCTTGGGGATTTGGGCTTGCATTTACTGTTTCTAATAGTGTTGCTTTTTCTGTCTCATTTAATTCATCCTAAAGAGGGCCTTTTAATAACTGACACTGACCATATGTGATTTGTAGAAGCTTATATTTACATATTCACAACCACATACAGAATTAATCACAGACACTTTGAAGAATCTAAAAGGAGTCCTTTATTATGACATTGGAAGTATGTTCAAGGATAAGCTATTTGCAGCTAAACCATAAATTGGAAAAGATTCTGGTCTAGTCAAAAGCCTTTTAGCCTAAAATTCTGCAGATCTGAATTCTTCCATTTCACTCTCTAAATATGTGACTTTGGTCAAATTATTTAATGTTTCTACAGTCATTTTCTTATCTAACTTTTTAAGGAGTGATGCAAAATCACTTTTAACCCTAGCCATGTAGTTATATCAAAATCTCTTGTGAATTCATGTGAAAGAATATTTCCATGTGTTGAAAGCATGGATTCCTTGACATAATGAAGATATTTACCATGTTTGCTTTGCTATATCAAATTGATAGGCCCTTGTCAACTCATCCAGGTGAGCCTGTAGCATGGGTTGCATCTCTTCTCGTGGGGATGGAGTAAGAGTTGCAGTGGACTGCTGTCCAAAAGAGATAGCAGGAGAAGAAGCCACGCCTCGGACAGGAGGTGTTGGGACTCTATCATCATCTTCTTCCAGTTCATCTTCCATACCTTGGTGTAAGTATGTTTGCACTGGCAGTGGTGGGCACCAGCTATCACTGTCATAACTGAAATTAAATGAGAAAAATATGCAAATTGTTACTCACAGGTACACACACAATTATACTGGCAATAAATAGCAACCGTATGGTATCTAAAATATTCTCTCAGTTTACTTCCTCATGATCAAGTTGTTGGTGCTACCATAGTAAATCACCTGGCTGTTATCTTAATTTCTAATTGTAATTACATCTGTTATCTCAATATCTCAATTTATTCTTAAAAGACCTCATTAGCTAACTGTTACTACCCTATAGTTACAAAAGGCAATAACTTCCCAACAAACTTACTCATGTGGAAAAACCAAATTGCTAATTAACCACAATTAATGAATTCAATGCTTTGTAGATTTAACTACTTTCTTCTCCTCTTTATACTTGTGCACCAACAGAATATGCCAATATAGCTTATCGATCATCTAAGTAGTGTTGGAGAATTTTATTTACTGTTTAATTTCATATAACATGTCAGACATTAAGACTTTTGATATAAAATATATTCAATATCTCTTTGATTCTCTTAATTTTCTCAGTAGAAACTATGTCCCCTTTATCTTGCCATTAAATGCAAATCATAGAACAGAAAATCAAAACCTTGTCCTATAAAATATATTTTAAAAAATAATGTTTTTATTGTAGTAAAAACATTTAACATGAGATCTAGCCTGTCAATGAATTAAGTATAAAACACAATAATTATTTTAAAACAGCAATTTTAAGGTATTTTAAGTATTTTAAAAATATAGAATATATTTTTATAGAATATAAAAAATTAATCCAAAAAGTTAATTGAGATACAAAATTAGCAGTATTCCTATTACATATTCTTTCTAGTCATAGTATTTTCAGAAATCAAATAAATCCTAACATACTATTAAAAAGACATTTGAGGATAAGATAATATTATTGGATATAACTTTTTATTTCAAAATATTAAGGGTGTACAAGTGTTTTTGTTACATGAATAGCTTTTATAATGCTTTAGTCAAGGCTATACATGTGCCCATCACCTGAATAGTGTTCATTGTACCTGTTAGGGAGGTTTTTATCCTTCCTTCATCCCCCCCACCCCCCTGCTTGATTTCCAGAGATTTTTACTTCTTTCTATGCCCATGTGTGCCCATCAATTAGTTTGGATATAGTTGTCTTATAAATTCAACCTCTTAAATATCTCATGAATCTTTCCTCTGTGCTTCATGCCTGCTTCACAGTCACAGATCGGTCTCCTGATGCAATCCAACTTATTGGCTTTCCAAGTTTCTTGGGATGGTATCTTCTCTCCCCCCCTTTTTCCATAGAGGAAACAGGATAATATTTCTAAAATCTTCATTCAAATCACATCTATGCATAAAATTATTCAGTGACTATAATTAACATAAGAAAAATTCCAAACTCATTAGCTGGGCTTAAAAAGACCCTTCCCTATCTGACCAGCCTACTTTTTCTAGCTTAATTTCCTCAAAACCAGCTTATTCTATGTTTTCTCTAAATCTGGATCTGTATATGACTGTTCTCAAATCATCTACTTATAAGCTCCTGCTCTTCCTTCAAGGTTCACTTCAAATGTCATCAGTTTTGTGAAGCCTTCTCTGCCCCCTCTTCATATGGAATTGATAGTACTTATATTTTGGTACTTCTTACATTAAGATAATTTGTTTCTATGTTTCTTTTCTCTCACTATTCTGTGAGATCCTTAAACCCAAGAACTTTGTAATTTTCCCCTTTCTACTTCTAGCACTTTGTATAGTACCTGGTACATGGGAAATGCTCATTAAAGAAATTGAAAATAGAATAAATGTCACAAATATATATAACCAGTTTTTATCTCCCTTACAAACTGTAACTCATAAATGTTCAGATGATTCTTAAATATTTTCACTTGAACATCTTTTCATTTATTCTGTCTAAAACTGAATTTATTATAAAAACCTGAACATGGATATTTATAACCACCTTATTCATAATGGCCCAAATTTAGAAGCAATCAAAATGTACCCCCGAAGGCAAATGGATAAACAAACTGTGGTACATGTAGACAATAGAATATTATTAATCACTAGAACGAAATGAGCTGACAAGCCATGAAAATACATGGAGGAAACTTACATGAATAATTATTAAATGAAAGAAACTAGTCTGAAAATGCTGCATACCACACTATTCCTACTATTTGACATTCTGGAAAAGACACAACTATGGATACAGTAAAAAGGTTTGTAGTTGCTAGAGGCTATGGGAGGGGGAAGGGATGAACAAGTGGAGAGCACAGAGCAGTTTTAGGGCAGTGAAACTACTCTGTATGATACAATAATGGTTGATATGTGTTCATTATAAAATAGGTGATTCATTATAAAATTTTCCAATTCACAGAAAGTAAAACACCAAGAGAGAACTCTAACGTAAACTATGAATTTTGAGTGATAATGATATGTCAATGTAAGTTCATCAATTGCAACAAATGCACCACTCTGATGGGGGATGCTGATAGTTGGGAAGGCTATGCATGTATAGGGGCTGGGACAAATCTCAGTACCTTCTGCTAAATTTTGCTGTGAACCTAAAATCAATCTAAAAATAAAATATTTTAAAAAATACAATTTATTTTAAAAAATACAATTTATCATCTTTTTTCCTAACAATGTTGTGTCAGGGTCCTGAATCTATTTCACAAAACATATGCATTCATTTCTGAGAGGCAGAGTGATAGTAAACAAATAATCAACAATGCAGAGTACTATAAAAAGAAAGAGCAAAAGGCCTAAACTAGTTTTGGGGTTGGGCTAAATTCATTTTCCCAAACCTCAAAGATTTTTCTTTCAAATTTGGTTTTACTTCTGACTCCTTTATTTTTATCTCCATGGTCATTTTCTTCTCTTACTGAAGCTACCTAGATGACTTTTTTCCTCAATGAATTACAAAATTAAGACCCTGTTTCAGAAGCCCTGTACAGCAGGGGTCCCCAGCCTCTGGTGAGTTGTATAATTATTTCATTATATATTACAACATAATAATAATAGAAATAAAGTACACAATAAATGTAATGTGCTTGAATCATCCCCAAGCCATTCGTTCCACTCACCCCCAGTCCATGGAAGAAAAATTGTCTTCCATGGAAATGGTACTTGGTACCAAAAAAGTTGGGGACTGCTGCTGTATAGAATGATGGAAATATCTCTTTCTAAATCTCTTTTCTAATGTAGTATAAACGGAAGACAGATTTTAATGTATCATGAATAAAAATTTTATATAAATTAAAAAATAGAATTGATTAAATTTGTATTTCCATTAATTAACTATAGCGTGAGTGCAAGTCTGAAGTAAAAAAATATATTGCCCTAAACTGCTGTCATTTGTATTTGTATTATATGTTGGATGTCACAGTTAGCTTTCATTTAAAGAAAAGATTCCATCACTAACAAAGTTTGTAACTCATTTTCCCAGTTGGCTTTACTACTTTTAGTTTATCCCATGCTTTGATGGGAAAAAAAAAAAAACCCTCAGTTTTCTTTCTTAAAAAAATTTATTTATTTGACTTTTAATGTAATATTCTTAAGTTAAACAGACATCTATAAGAAAGCTAACCAAAAAAGAACTACCCATTTTTAGTAAGGAATGTGTTTGCTGTTATCCTTCTTCAATGATTATAATTAAACTACTCTGTAAAACTTGTTACAAAAGAGCATATTTTTGTGCCAAAGTAATAGGTGCACTTCCCTTACTTACATTGGCTTATTGCCAGGCATATTATACCTTTGAAAAAAGAAAGAACATAACATGTTTATAAATCTTTCAAATGGGAAAAATCAATTATTTCCTAAAATTTTCCTATTCTGTAAGTAGTAAAATATTCTTACTTTTAATAATCTAATGGAAGCATATATATGAAATGAAAATACATAGAGAACATAAAAGAAAGAAAAAATATATGTTATATGTATCATGTGTTAAGGCAACAGGAAAAAATATAATCAGCTATATTCAATTCATTTTTTCAGTTGTTTTTTGAGACAGAGTCTTACTCTGTCACCCCAACTAGAGTGCAGTGGCATTATCATGGCTCACTGCAACCTAAAATTCCTGGGCTCAAGCAATCCTCCTGCCTCAGCCTCCTAAGCAGCTAGGACTAGACATGTACCAACATACCTGGCTAGGTTTTCTACTTTTTTGTAGAGACGGGATCTTATTGCCCAGGTTGGTCTTGAGCTCCTGACCTCAAGCAATCCTTCTGCCTTGGCCTCCCAAAGTGCTAGGGTTATAGGCATAAGCCACCATATCCAGTTTCAATTTACTTTTTATTATTCAAATAATATTAAATATCAGGCAAAAGAGAGTCTAACCACATAAATACTATTCTTTACATTATGCAAATACATTGCATAATGTATTAAATAACTGAAACCGATTTCATTTAACTAGAATATATGTTATCATCAATTTTTCCAACCTCTGCAAAGTTAATCTAGAGCAAAAGTGAGCAAACTCTGTACTCACCTTTGGGATATGCAAAGCTGAGAAAAGTCCATGGATTCATGTACTTGGTTTGTGCCAAAAGAAGAAAAATGGAAAGAGAGAAAAAAAGAAAATACTAGGAGGAGAACATGAAAAATGAAGGAAGGCTGGGACACAGTGTATATCATATGATAGAGAAGAATTATTTCCGTGGTTTTCATGTTTTAATGCATTCCAGAGCAACAAATACTTAGGTTACTTGCACTTACTGAAGAAGGATGAGAAAATAACAAATGACTCTATAAATTTTATGAAGTGTAGCTATGTTTTTACAGTTTCCTTTACATTTTACAGATATACACCTTATTTGAGTGGCAGAATTTCAACTTTTTCTCATAGTAATATTTAAAAAGACTGTAAACATGCTGCTACTGCCAACCAAAAGTCTTCTGGCCAACCTTTCCTAGAGAAGCTTTTGTTCTTTGACTTATTGTCAGTGAAGTAAAAGGCATCATATCATCTGTCTTGCCTGGTGAATAATGATAAAGATGACAAAAAAT